TCAAGACAAGGACCTTATCCACTATACTTTGTGTATAAATCAACTATGTCAAAATGGGGAAGCTCATTAGTACGATATTGTCCGCTTTTGGCCAAACCCGCACGGTTTTACTCTTAGGTGTCCTCCCCAAAAGGCCTCGTACTAATTGGGTTAGGTAGAAACTAATATACAAGGATTCATTCCCTTGTATTTTTGATGTGGTACTTGGATTGTCTCATAACAATCCTCCCCTCAAGATAATGACCACAAACATCGTGTTCTCATCTCATCAATTATATTGATCCGCCAAACATACATGGATCTCTCATGGATCCACCAAACAATCCAGACGCAGAACTCTCTTTGATCTGCCAAACTAACGCGGATCGCAAATCCTGAGCACCAAACGAGGATCCCACCAAACTGACACCACACGTTTCTTCTCTCCTTATCTTCTTTTTCTTCTCTCCTCTCCACACTTTTTCCTTATCTTTTTCTCCTTCTCTCTTCTCTTGTTCCACCTTTTACGAAACATCCGTTCTTCTTCTTCTCTCTTTTCTCAACGCATCTGCTACGGTGCTACTGCTACCCTCTAAATCTCCTCCAGAGACGTCGTCGGAGAAAGAAATGAGATCGAGGAAGTCACTTCTGCACATCGTGAAGGAGGAGGAGCGGCGGTTGTCGGCGGGGAAGAGCAAGGCCGGAGGCGGAGCTTCGGAGATGGAAGAATCGCGACAGAAGGCGCGGTGCGACGGGAGGCTAAGGAAGGGGTCGGATATTTAGGGTTTGAGAATGATTGGGGAGATTTTTTTCTCGTTTTGAATTGGGGAGGGGGAAGGCAGATTAATGGATTTTCGGTGGTGGTCGGTTACGTGGTTAACCACAGTTAGCCGTCTTCGGTTACGCGGTTAACCGACCACCGACCGCAACTCCTCTTCCGTCGGTTTTCGGTTAGCCGTTAACCGCGATTTTTGGTCATAACCGCTGGTTAACCGCTAACCGGAAACCGAATTGCCGACCCTATCCACTATACATAGTGTTTAAATAACTATGTCATAACGGGGCAACTCATTAGTACGATATTGTCCACTTTGGGCCAAGCCGCACGGTTTTACTCTTGGGTGTCCTCCCCAAAAGGCCTCGTACTAATTGGGCTAGGTGGACACTAATATGAAAGGGTTCCTTCCCTTGTATTTCCGATGTGGTACTTAGATTGTCTCATAACAATCCTCCCCTCAAGACAAGGACCCTATCCACTATACATTGTGTTTAAATCAACTATGTCATAACGGGGCAGCTCATTAGTACGATATTGTCCGCTTTGGGCCAAGCCCGCACAGTTTTACTCTTGGGTGTTCTCTCCAAAAAGCCTCGTACTAATTGGGCTAGGTGGACACTAATATACAAGGGTTTCTTCCCTTGTATTTCCGATATGTTACTCGGATTGTCTCATAACAATCCTCCCCTCAAGACAAGGACTCTATCCACTATACATTGTGTATAAATCAACTATGTCATAACGGGAAAGCTCATTAGTACGATATTGTCCGCTTTTGGCCAAACTCGCACGGTTTTACTCTTGGGTGTCCTCCCCAAAAGGCCTCGTACTAATTGGGTTTGGTGGAAACTAATATACAAGGATTCATTCCCTTGCATTTCTGATGTGGTACTTGGATTGTCTCATAACAATCCTCCCCTCAAGATAACGACCACAAACATTGTGTCCTCACCTCATCAATTATATTGATCCGCCAAACATACATGGATCTCTCATGGATCCACCAAACAACCCAGACGCAGAACTCTCTTTGATCTGTCAAACTAACGCGGATCGCAAATCCTGAGGCTACCAAACGAGGATCCCACCAAACTGACGTCCACCGCCCCGAACCGAGCCAGGCTCTGTTACCACTTGTCATAATCGGGAAGCTCATTAATACGATATTGTCCGCTTTGAGCCAAGCTCCTCGCACGGTTTTACTCCTGGGTATCCTCCCCAAAAGACCTCATGCTAATTGAGCTAGGTGGACACTTAAATACAAGAGTTCATTCCCTTATATTTTCGATGTGACACTTTGATTGTCCCATAACAATAAAACACATAACCATTTAATCATACCAACTCTAATAACATCTCACAAACCAATTGGAAAATTCCATTTATCTACCTTAACCACTCTCTTACATCCTTCGCCATTTATCCCTTCTGCCTTTTTACATCAAAACTTTGAGGAATTTTACAATGCTATATAGCATTGGTGCTATAGGTTTTTGCCTTTACGGTACAATTTGAAATTGTACATTTATCGTTATGGTACAACTTCAAATTGTACCTATACTTTTTGTACAAATTCTTTTATGGTACAACTTAAACTTGTACCTTATGTGATGGTACAACTTCAAGTTGTAAAGTTGTACCATAACATGATGATCCAAATTCCTTTATGGTACAACCTAAACTTATACATTTAATGTTATGGTACAACTTCAAGTTGTACATTAAAGCGCCAATGCTATATAGCATAGTAGAAGTGCTCCAAAACTTTTTGGTTTTCTAATATAGATATATGATGATTCCTTTCCCCCTGCCTCATCCTCGCTTGATTACATCGACGGCTTTTGGTCACGACGATTTCTCCCACGTAAGCTAACCACCGGCCCAAAACACATCCTTTAATTAGGTCGACGATTAGTTCCTCCAAAAAAAGCGACGACCCACTTCATGACAACACACTACTCCTCCCTCCCTAATTTACACCGTTTCCATATATATATAACTAGCTTTGGGAGCTTCACAAGTTAAAAAGACCAACCACCCAATGAAAAAAAAATACACAGTGTTCTATGGAATTTGCCCTATAAATATAGCTATAATTAGCTAGGATAATAACCATAAACTCGAAACCCACATCAAGAAGCAACAATGGCGGCCATAAGAAGAAGAAGCAGCAGCAGGATGATGGCAGTTCTCATTCTTTCCTTCCTACTCCTAGCCGGTGAGCTATCATAATTAGTCTTATATTCCCAAAATCTTCATGAATTCCTGTTTACAATTAACTTCGTTCATGATTATTTGCCTACGTACATGTATATTAAAGTTGTAGGCATCTCAAGCTCAAGGGAAATCGTGGTCAAGGCTGGAAGTCATCATGAACATGATGATCATGACTCTACTACTGATGCTACTACCACCGCCATGGCGACGAATGCCATGCGCCACCGCGACCACGACGGCCGGGCAAAGAAGCATGAGTGCGATAGTAACGAGGATTGCTGGGACAAAGACCCTACTAATTGTTCCCGCAATGATGAAGTGTTTTGTTCAAAGGAAGGCTTGTGCAGCTGCTACGGCCGTTGATGATCGTGATCTTCTTTCTAGCCATATGTAAGCTGCCTTGATTGATACGATTATATATATGTTAAGCACTATTACTTTTGTATAATAATAAAATGATGACGACCAAAAGATCATTGGGGGTTATCGGTTATGATAGAGATTCGTCTTTGGTCAGAGTGGCCCTGTGGTAGTTTTTGGAGAAGCAGCTTCTGATTTGGAGCTTTTATAGAGAAGTACTTTTCAAAAAAGGCAGTTGAGTGTTTGGTTGAAAAACTATTTGTTATAAACGCGCTGCTACGGATCGGAAAATCGCAGGAATCGACAAAGCAAGAATACGAAAGCGAGAATCGAAAACACGACACACGATTTACGTGGTTCACTAACATGATGTGTGTTAGCTACGTCCACGGGCGAGAGAGAGCCAGTTTCACTATATCAAGGAGATTACAGATTACAGAGGAGTATGAGAAGTATTTATAGTACTTCTCAATGTGGGTCTAAACCTAATCCAATATGGCAAAGGAAACGGTTACAGACCAGGCCTAGAACCCGAACCCAAATAACAGCGAGACCCCCGATTACCAGTCGTAGCGGCTGATAGTCCGATTCAAGTCACATCAACACTATCAAAAGTGTTTTTTAATATGAGAAGAAGTGTAAAACACTTCTAAAGGCGAGGCCAAACATAGGAATAATTAAATAGGTCGTCGTCTTTGTTATGATGGCTAGCTAGAGTCTTGTCTTTCTGGCTTTGGTCTTAGGAGGTATAATTAAAAAGGTTATCTTTTGTATCACTTCTCCTTTTGTTTTTCTTACATGTGTTATCGAAAATCAATAACCATACTACTCAAACTTGCAATATATATATATTCCTCCCTCTTGAGACCATCTACAATGCTATGGGTAAAGTGCCAATTTTTGGCACTTTTGAGCTTTAATGGCAAAAGATAAAAAGTCAAAGTGTTAAATTCTAAGGTTTTGGGAGCCAAATTTGGCTCACAAAAAACAAAAAGTGCTAAAAGTGAAATAAAAATCGCAGAGAGATGGGGAGAGAAAAACCCGTGGGAAGGGGAAGGGGGAAGGGGCCGCCTGCTTCCCACATGCGCGTCCCTTCTTTTTTTTTTATTTGTTTATGATGACAAACTACAAATCAGCTCCTGGAAAACTTCTCCACCAGTCACCAATTTCGCCCCAACGGCTATTTTCTCCTCCAACAACTATTTTTAGTCCCAACAACTATATTTTTCAAATTTCCTCTATGAAGATGACCACATACTTCACTTCTAATTACACCACAACGACATTTTCCTCCCCTCTCATCAAATATCAATCTCTCACTACATTTCTCATTCTCTCTACATTTCTCTTCCTCTCCAACTTCTCGTCATGGCTACTCGTCAACCCAATTGGATCGATGATGAAGATAAGAAATTAGCCAAACTTTGGATTCAAATATCGGAGGAAGGTGAGGTCGGTCGTTATCAATCTAATCCGATGTTTATTGCTCGAATTACAATCATATTCAACAATGAAGGCACGAGAATTTATCATTCCAATAGTGGGGTAAAATCAAGATGGCAGAAGATTAATCGTCATTGTACGGTGTGGAATGGAGTGTTGAAGAGAGCAAATGCATCACCAATGAGCAGATCCAATGGTAAGTAAAATTCTTATATTTATTACGTTTGTTCTAAACTTTTTATTTAATCAAGTTTATATTTACTTACTTTTTTTTGAACTACTTGTCTAGCTAGTTCATGCTCATGCTCTTTTCAGAGCTCAAACCAAAACAGATTTCGAATTCGCATCATGTTGGGAAATACTCGAAAAGTGTCCAAAATACATGGAACAATTCCATGCCCACGTACAAGACATTCCACCAATGGATGGATCTTCATCATCCATGCCATCTGGAGTTCAAGCAAGTGGTCATCCTTATGTGATCTGTCGTCCCGAAGGTAGAGATAAGCAAAAGAATAACAAAAGAGGAGGTGCAGATGGAAATTCTACAATGGAAGCTTTCCAAAAAACTATGGAGGATATGGCGGCAAGTAATACAAGACATGATGCAATTGTTGAGTTGAGGGAGGCACGCGAAAAGGCAAGGGAGGAACATGTGATAAATATGTGGTCACTCCCACCAACCACTGTATTTTCGTCATTGATGACATCATATTTATCATCGGAAAAAATATATCAAATTTTTTTAAAAAATCATATAAAAAAGTTCTTTCTAACTAATTATGACTAACTATATAAAAACAATTAAAAAATTATATAAATAAAGCAATGAAATGTACAATAAACTAACACATAAAAAAATCACAAATGTAGCACTTTGGCATTTGGCTCTACTCCATTAAAGCAAAAGCACTTTATTGAGTGCCAAATTTGGCACTAATTTTTAACACCCATTGTAGATGGTCTCACTACTCTATTCGAACCTAGACTATTCACTATTTAAGTAAATGGCTATTTGCTACCAACTTAAAATTATTAAAATGAAAAATTCTAATTCAAAATTCATCTTTATGAATTTATACATTTACAACGTAACTTCACTTCCCACTCCAAGACCACTAAACTTTTCTTTTAATGTCTTCATACATCTAATGTCTTCTTTGTACATCATTTGATGCCAATAAATTTACAGTCGAACGGTGTAATAAGAAAATATCTTAATAAATTTTTTGAAAGCTCTAGTCAATAAATGCCACTGGTAGAAGATATTATATATGTAAGCCGACATATTATCCATTTGCACAAAGAAACGTGTCACTTTATGGTCTATGAACGTAAATTAACATGTAACAACATGCATAGTATGATAGCAACAAACATATATTAGTTTTATAATACATTAGCCAATAGACTAAGCTAATGTTTAGCGCCTTGACTATATGTAATTCGATTTGGGATCAGAATCTATGATTTTACGCTTGAAAATCAACAATCTCACTACTAATACAAGTCCTCCTTAGTCATAAACCAAATAATATTTAATAAATCGAGTTATTGAAAGAAGGTTAATTATAGATCTCATACCACTCTCTTACATGCTCCCTCAAATGAAAGCCAGCTCACAAACATGAAGTTTACTAGATATCCACCATGTATTGTGATTAAATCAACCGTTATACTACTGGAAGTCATGACAATTCGAACAAATCACCACTTGATTATACCAACGCTAATATCATGTCATAAGCCAACCGAAATCCCAATAACTCGAATTATTATAAATAATTCCATTTATCAATCTTAACCACCCTGTCTTACACCCTTCGCCAGTACTTCTCCTTCTGATGGTCTATTGGTCTTATGGACAGCAACTACTGACCATAAAGTTATGAAACTGCTGCCTGCCTGCCTGCCTCAAATATTTCAATACTAGTATACATAATTATCATCCCAACAACAACAAAAAAAGTACATAATCATCAAACTAGTAACATACAAGACACCACAGTCGTCTGCAACTGCTACATGACCCCAACGATCTTTTATTCGATCATCATCACTATCACAAAACTAGCACTTCCAAGTTGATCAATATCGAGGCAGCTATATAAATATATGGTGAGAAAGAAGATCATCATCATCGACGGCCGTAGCAGCTGCAAAAGCCTTCTTCTGAACAATATAGTTCTTCATCGCCACCACATTCAGGAGGGTGTTTGCCCCTGCAATCCTTGTTGCTATTGCACTCCTTATTCTTTACATTCGTCGTCATCATGGCGGTGGTAGTAGCAGTAGAGTCATCACGTTCATTGCCATGTTCTTCATGATTTCCAGCCTTGACTTCGAATTCCCTTGAGCTCGAGATTCCTATAACTTGAATATGCATATATATACGTACATGGGCATAATGAAGCAAGTTTGTCATCAACAGATCGAACTCATGAAAGATGTTGAGAATATAAGAGTAATTATGACATAGCTCACCGGCTAGGAGTAGGAACGAAATGATGAGGAATGACAACATCCTGCTGCTTCTACTAACGGCTGCCATTGTTGGTTATTTCTTGATGTGGGTTTCGAGTTTTGTGGCTATTGCTAGCTAATTATAGCTACATTTATAGGGCACATCCACGGAACAATAATGTATATTTCTCATGAAGTACTGGCTCGTCGCTTTCAGCCGGAATCCTCGACCGAATTAAAGGGTGTGTTTTGGGACGGTCGTTTCGTTATCTCTTACGTTGGAGAAATCGCCATGCCCAAACGCCGTCGATGTGGTAAGCCCGTGATGAGGCAGAGAGAGGGAAAGGAATCATCATATCTAACTAGGTGGCGATGTCGCGCCTTGTCGCGAGAGGAGATGGCCTATCGGCATGTATTATGTGACCCGTTATGTTGTTTTGTTAGTATTATTATCCTAAAATTAATTTTTTGTTAGCAGTTTTGTTAATAATATTGAATTGACAATATGATATTGAATAAGAAAATATATATGACAGCCAACATCCGATTTCAAATATTTTGAAATTTTGGGCTAATAAACTATATTTACCTAAACCCAAGTAGACCCATTAATTATGGGTAGGGTATGGGTGACTTATATATGAGTTTGGAAGCTGTAGATGAGATTGGGCATTGTATGGATATTTACTTTCATAATCTAAATGTGTATGAGTTGGGTGGGGATACCCATTTATTCGAAGGTGTTTTAATTACACATACAAAAATTATAACTATTTGTAGAACTTCAAAATTTTAGGTACCAAAATGTAGTAAAAAAAATTAGGTACTAAAATGTATTGTTCCATCAATATTTTGATTTTTGAGGACTTGTATGCTAAAAAAATAAATTTAGGCTATAAATCTAAGATCTATTAAGTTTATGTACCGAACTATAATTTGCATAGTTGAGGCTTAATTCCTTTAATGGTGATGTATTTAAGATGATAATTATTTACTTTTTTTAGAAAAATGGAAACTATTTATTTGATATGTGTAGGTACCTAGTCAAACATATAATTGTTGAAAATCTAGCCCGGGTGAAAAAGAAAAACTATATAGAGAAGCAAAATGAATACAAACGGGAACTCGCTAAAAATTTCAAGCCTTCAAATCCCATAGTGGACAATGATGACTTTCTAATAAGTAATAGTCATATATCTTTATTTTTAATTGGACTCGACATTGAGCTGAAAACGTTAATGGTTCATGGTTCAATTACTAATTATGGTTGGACGAAGAAGGCAATGAAAGAAATACATAAAGTGTTATGATTTTTATTACTGTTGATTTTTTAAACATTGTTCTATTAAAATGTCATACAAAAACTTCGTAAGATCAATATCTTAATGTACTCATATTATATTTTACTAAATACGTTGTCACATCACCGAATAGAATGCTCTTTTAAAAATGATCGTTATTATTTCAAATGGATATCATACATGTTTATTTGAAGTAAAAATCTCATCAAGGACCAAAATGGTCGAATCTTCTTCTACAGTTGAGTGATACAACATCTTGTATGGTACAAACTAAATTTATAAATTTATGTTACGCTGGATTGGATTTATGGATTCAAGTGAAATGTAAACATTGGACCAATATGTAAATTTTAAAAATTGTAGGTATGAAAATCTCATAAAGTTTAGATACTAAAACATAATTGTTCAATGATTTTAATTTAAAATTAAATTTGGGGTATCAAAATGTAGAATATACATTATAATGACTAAGTTGTAATTTAATTAAATTTGAGGTATCAAAATGTAGTTATTTTGGCAACAGTAACCTCACTTAACGTTTATATATAGTAATATTCTAAAACCAAAAGTCTTTGGTAAGAAGGTCTAATCCGTAGTCCAATACATTTAAATAGTAACCGTTAGATGATGGATAATAAATACACTGAGGGCAAAACAGTAAACTAGCCATCCGTTTGAGAATTCGAAAAACCATATCTCACTCTTGTCATTTATGAAAGGTATCTAATTAGTTATATCCTATTTAATTTTAACGAACTATTTTTCTTTAATTTTAAGTCAAAATTTAAAAAAAAAATGCTTACACACAAAAATCAGTTCAATTGTGCTCTTTAAAATGACATTCACCTTGATATATTTTGGAACAAACAACAACAAAAAATTGTGATTTGATTACCTTGGGATGTACATAAGATTATACTACATGATATGGAAGTGTATATATTAACTGTCATTTACCACATTTCGTCATCGTCTACCATCAAATACCACAATGTACCAACGTGGTATATTTTGTCCTTAAATTTTTTTTCCCGAAAATTTGTAGATCCAATAGATCACGATGAACTCTTTCCTCTTGGGCAAAAAATTTCAGAGTTCGAGTTAAAAATGAAGGTGGTACCGAGGTTGTATAGGGTGGTATATTTGGTCATGAATTTTTTTCCCAAGAAATTTGTAGATCCAATATATCACGACAAATTGTTTTCTTTTTCAAATTATGAGTAACAAATGGTATAAGGGTTTTATATAGGGATGACAATGGGTCGGGTTGGGGCGGGTTTTGTCAAACCCAAACCCAAACTCATGGATTTATCCGCCAAAAAAATCGCGGTAAAATTCGCTGGGTTTGAAAAACTCAAACCCAACCCAACCCAACCCGCTGGGTATTCGCGGGTTCATGGGTACCCGTGGGTTTTTGTGGTAAAAAATTTATAATAACAAGTTTCTTTCAAAATAAAAGTTTAACATAAATTTTCTAATACAAATTATTCATACAAAAAATACCAATCTAGAGCATACAAGCAAACCGCCCGCTGGGAATCCGCGGGTTCATGGGTACCTGTGGGTTTTTGTGGTAAAAAATTTATAATAACAAGTTTCTTTCAAAATAATAGTTTAACATAAATTTTCTAATACAAATTATTCATACAAAAAATACCAATCTAGAGCAAATGATCAATACAAATTGTTCAATAAAGATAAACATCTATAAATAATAAGATTAATTGAAAGCTTCTTCATCGTCAACTAAGTTTCTTTACTCTCCACTTCATAATATCAACTTCATTCTAAACGAACAAATTATACATGTCTCCACAAACATAAAGAATATTAGTTGTGTGTGGGCGGGTACCCATGGGACGAGTTTACCTACACCCAAACCCAACCCGACCCGGTAAATAGTGTAGCGGGTTAAAATCGAACCCGGCCCAAAACCCGTCGACACGGTTTTACCCGTGTTGACCGGGTTGGGTCGGGTGGGTACCCGTGGGTTCGGGTTTTGTTGCCATCCCTAGTTGTATAGGGTGGTATATTTGAATATAGAACCTCATACTATCTTATCACTATCATAAGAACATTATACTATTATAGTAAGACTACATAATATTATTTTATCATTTTCTTACTATGATCTTATCACTACGGTAAGACGGACAACACCACTATCATGCATATTATGATATTAACATAGTGATAATATCATGATGTCACAATGGTAAGATGAGGTGAAAGGTGATTTGACTGCATGCCTTGAAATCCACATCGAACAAAAAATTCCGCCCAACTGTTCCAAAAAGGCCTACTTTCCCTTCTTACTCTTTTATAATATAGACCATCAAATCTCTTTCTCTCCAATATAATTACAACCATTTGATATGGTTTTATTTATTTACATGCATAAGAGATTTTTTAATTGGAACCTAAATATTTTCATTACTCTTTGCTATAAAACATTTTTTATTAGATGGTTTCTCGCTGCTTGGGTTATTATATTTTCGTCCACAAAATCAACGAAATATTTAAGGGATACTTAATAGGCTAGCTAACTATGGTGGAAAAGTCCTACTAGTTTCATATTTTGTGCTTTCTATATATTTTAATCAAGAAAGATACAACCAATTTGTTTAATGTAATTGATTATGATTCGTTAATTCTTATTTTTGTTTGAAGAGACCTTGATCGAAATCCTAATAGTGATGTATTAGCATCCAATTTTAAATGGGAGAAAAATGAGCACACATGATATGATGATTCCTTTCCCCCCTGCCTCATACAGGCTTGACTACATCGACGGCATTTGGGGGCACGGCGATTTCTCCAAAACACAGCCTTTTATTCGGCCGCGAATTAGTTCCTGCAAAAAGCGACTCACCACTGCTCCTCCCTCCCTAATTTACACCGTTTCCATTTATAGTTTTTCTTAGGGCTGAATTACACATTTGGTCACTCAAATTATACAAATCTTTCACGTTTGCCACCCGAATTACTTTTCTTTCTTATTCGCCACTAACTTTAAGAATCGTTTCACCGTAGCCACCGGCCGTTCAATTCCGTTAAAATCATCCTACGTGGCAGTCAACCAAAGCCTTTGACCGTTAGTTTGATGATGTGGCAATTAAAAAATAAAATATAAAAATATAAAAAATAAAATCATTTTTAGTTTGCTGCCAATTCCACGCTCCGGCCCCGTGACCGACGTGGCGAGCTTTGGGCTAGCAGTGGTGCTATTAGGGGGAGCGACGAGCATGAGCGCAACGCAGCCGCTTGGAAAAGGGTGGCTCGACGGAAAGTGCTACGTCGTGAAAGACGGTATCTACGTCGGCTCAGGGGTTCTGACGCTAGTTTCAACCGCTGCCGTCCTTGGCTCCGCTGTCGTCGCCGTCAGAAAAGCCCAGGCTGAGCAGGGGCGCAGAGTACATGCCCAAGCTATCGTCGGCTCGTGACTATTCCTCTCATTTTTTGTCGGAAAGAAAATTACAGGCTAGATACAAAGAGTGAAAAGAAAAACAAACTTATACACAGATAGATTGTTACAAAGAAGAATGAAAAGGGAACTGGAAAAGAATGCTGCAACTTTCGTGGTCACAATTAGAGTTGAAGTTTCCTTTTTCAAGGAGGGGAAAGGTTAATTTGCTCTTCCGAACCTTTTTCTGATCGATTTCGTTCCCTGTGGGTCATCCACTCACCCTTTTTCTCTGCTGAATTAGATAGAAAAGCAGAGGTGGAATGGGGTCGGAGCGTGGAATTGGCAGCAAACTAAAAATGATTTTATTTTTTATATTTTTTTATTTTTTAATTACCACGTCATCAAACTAACGGTCAAAGGTTTTGGTTGACTGCCACGTAGGATGATTTTAACGGAATTGGACGGTCGGTGGCTACGGTGAAACGATTCGTAAAGTTAGTGGCGAATAAGAAAGAAAAGTAATTCGGGTGGCAAACGTGAAAGATTTGTATAATTTGAGTGACCAAATGTGTAATTCAGCCTTTTTTTTAGGGAGTTTCCATTTATAGCTTTAAAAAAAGACCAACCACCCAACAATGAAAAATACACAGTGTTCCACGGACGGATGTGCCCTATAAATGTAGCTATAATTAGCTAGGATAATTACCATAAACTCGAAACCCACATCAAGAAGCAACAATGGCGGCCGCAAGAAGAAGAAGCAACAGCAGGATGATGGCAGTTCTCATTATTTCTTTCCTATTCTTAGCCGGTGAGCTAACATAACTAGTCTTATATGTTCTCAAAATTTACAGGGAATGCTATTTACAATTTAACTTGGTTCATTATGATCTGCCCATGAATTCAAGTTGTAGGCGGCATCTCGAGCTCAAGGGAGATCGTGGTCAAGACTACTGGAAGTCATCATGACTCTGCTGCTGCTACTACCACCGCCATGACGGCGAATGCAAAGAAGCATGCGTGCAATAGTAACGAGGATTGCTGGGACGCGGACCCTACTAATTGTCCCCGCAACGATGAAGTGTTTTGTTCAGAAGAAGGTTTGTGCAGCTGCTACGGCCGTCGATGATCTAGCTGCCTGCCTCGATTGGCCTTGTCATGGAGATTAAGGAGGTTTGTGGTGATGATACAGTTTCTTCATGGGGTTATAGTTAAGGAAATAACTAGGCTATCTTTGTTAAGATGGCTAGAGTTTTGTTGTTCCTGGCTTTGGTCTCGACTTTGTTGGTCTTTTTTATCACTTCTCTTTGTCTTTTTTTTTCTTCTTCATGCTACTGAAATAAATAAATAAAAGATCTTGGTCTTTGTCTTCTCTCTCTCGCTCCGTTGTGATTCACTGAAATTAAATATTAGTTGACTGCCACATCACTCATTTAACGGTCAACTATAATAGTTGACTGCCACATCAGCAAAAACTAACGGAGACTAACGGAGAGTGACCAAACTTGAACTATTGAACTAATCTTAGTGACCATGAATGAAATTAAATATTTGCAGTGACCAAACATGAACGGTTTTAGTAAACCTAGTGACCATCCTTGCAATTAACCCTTTGTTTGTCATCTACCTAACTTTTGTGTTGTTCTTGTTGGTTTTGCTTTTAACTGATATATATATATATATGCATGACTTTTCTACTTTTGGTAAAAATGTTTGGATTCTGCTCGTTGTTTGACGATCATTTGTTGCTGGTCTTTTACGGGTGTTGACAGGTGGTTAAGAAGTGCTTACATATTTATGTCTTCGACTTAATATTTTTCAAATCTAATGCAAAACAAATGACATATGGTCCGTTGAAGTTTCACATGAGATTGAAAAGTGAATTCACTAACACTTTGTTTTTTATGATGAAAAGTAGGGGGAAAGGAAAAATGTAAGGAAAAGCACAGGAACCAAAATGTTTTCCCTTGTTTTTAAGCTTTAAAGCAGTAACTGAAGAAAGAAAATATAGGGAAAGTGTACTGTACAGGAACCAAGATGCTTTCCCTTTTTTTTCTTTCTCAAAATTTCCTTTTGTTTTACCTTCCCAAATTCAGTGGCGTGGCTTCTTTACAATTCTCTCAAGTGGCACTTATTTTTTGGTAAGTGGTTTATGATGGGGTTTTAGTTCGTGATTCAATTGCTGCATCACTCAGGAATCATAGATGATTCATTTTTTTATGTTTTTTTTATTGGAATCTGTTTTTATTACCTAATAATTATTCTTGTAGTGGCTTATGTTAGATGATGTTCATGACTGCAAATTTTCATCATCATCTTCTTGATATCACTTTTTCTCTTTTCTCTACCTTAATTATTTTAATGGCTGCCTCCCATTCTATTTCCCTCCACCGAGTACTCATTTGGCGCCAGAATTTGAAGCACGTTGGCCTAAAACAATCAAACATTTGACAGATGTTAGCTATTGCATTGATGTCTATTTTAGTAATTGATTATGATAACAAAGCCAAAAGTACTTTTAATACGAATGAACCAAACAGCTTCTGCGGCAAAAAAGCACTTTTACATTATAATTGCCAAACAATAAACTGCTTATTTTGAAAAGTGCTTCTCTAAAAGCTCAAGCCAGAAGCTGCTTTTACAAAAGCTACAGCAGGGCCAAACTGAGTTTATATATAAAATCAAACAGATGCAAAAAAAAAAAAAAAACCTGAGTCGGCTTGTTCAGCCTGAACCAACTCCCCACATTAGCCACCAACCTCTAAGCTTCCACGTTCCGTCCGCAGTCATCCAGATCTTGCCCGGATCTATGCGTGTGAGGCTCCACCGCCCTCGTCAGAGTCCCGCTTTCCCTTGTTGCGACCGCCGCCGTCAATTCTCTCTTCAACACCGATCAGAAGCTCGCCGGCTAGATCAAGTCGCCGAAGCGCTTTTTTCTTTCCATCTGTCCTTGTTGCCGGATCAATCCTCCCCTTCTTGCCTTCCTCGTTGCCATCTCAAACAGCAATATAACAACCTTGACAGCTGGCCTAGGTGACGTGTAAAACAGGAGCCAATGTATAAATAGGAAGATTCTTTCTGTGATTGGTTATATGTTGTTATCCAATAAACTCATTCTTAGCTACTTTACCAATTATGTTAGTAGATAGCTGAATAAACACGCCCCCCCCCGGATATATCTCAATACAATTCGCCAGATTTCCTCCATTATCGATCCTTACAAGTGGTATCAGCAGCCTATAATATGGCAATGGCGACGAATACGTCTCGAATCGTGGATTTGGAGAATCAGATGGTTGCGGTCCAAGTGAAGTTGGATACTCATCATCAAGATTTGAAGGACACCATTGTTGTTTTGGCAGCCTCGACGAAGGAGAATATCGACGCTCTTACAGCTTCTATCACCAGGTTGCAGGAGAAATTGTCGATTCGCTCGCTGCCGCACGCCGATCCCGGTCATTTTACCGATCACCAACACTTCCGTCATCAGCAGCGTCGTCCGTCGCTTCTCGACCACTATCTGCGATTGGAATTCTCTTACTTTTCTGGCTCGGAACCTCAAAGTGAATCTCGGATTATGAATGATCCTCACGCCTGTACTTCCGAGTTGCGGGGACAAAAGATGTACACTCAAAGACCTTTGGCTCGCTTGAAAAAAGGTTTCGATCATGGATTCATTGAATCCGTTGATTTTGTAGAATGTTAGTTTTTTTGTTGTTTTGTGTATTTTTTATTTTAGCTTTAAAGATTTTTATGGATATCAAATCTTTATAATCATAAGGATTATGTATCTTGATTCGGGAGATCTTTTTTTCTCCCTTTTTATCCCACTAAATAGACATATCAATATATTTTCTATTTTTTTAGAACCTCACTAATTTTTTTATTAAGGATAAATATATCATTTAATATAGAATAAGAATTTTTATTTTCATTGTATGTTAACAATCACACTTACCAAAAAATTAAATATTTAATTTTTTTGAACAATCCGAATAGTTTAGTAGAATCTTTAGATTATTTACAATCTATAGATTTAGACTCTTCTTCTCCAAACGTCGCCTTAGTCGCTCCAAGACATGCCAACACCAATATTAGGAACTTTAGCCAAGTAATGAGAGTTGAGATGGATACAATTTATTTAAGAATGATGGTTTACACCTTTATATACAATGAAGGTTCAAGAAGGCGTAATTCCGCGTACGCCAAGGCGCGCCTAAGGTCGAGGAAGATAATTAAGCATTCATTTGAAATGCTAATATACTATTATTCAATGTTAAAGAAACATATAAATGATACGTAGAAAACAATAGGTTCAAGTTTGTGAGATGTCTTGTATGTTTTGAGAAATTTCTGGTATATTTTAATAAATTTGTGGTCCGCTTAGTGACGTTTTTTTTTTTTACGTTTTATGAAGTTTTTTGTCTGCTTTAAGAAACTTGTTATGTGCTTTATAAAACTTGTGGTGTGATTTTTTTGTCTCTAATATGTATTTTGTGGTATGCTTCATGATACTTGTGGTGAAACGAACTTAATGCACCGCGTTTAAAATCTTCTGAAACAACTTCTTTCGTTCATGTCTGATTGAGTCTATGGAATGAGTGATGATTAGGGCTGTTAACGATCCGATCCGAACTGAGTTTTGATGGTTCGGGCTCGGCTTTTTAAACAATTCCAAACTGCCCAGCTTGTTAAAATAATTCCAAGCTTGAGATTGACTCGAGTTTGGCTCGTTTACTGGGCTCGGTTCGCCAAATGAGGTTAACGAGAAAAAATTGAGTTCAACTGATAAAATATCGATTGTAACTCAAGTTTGAGCTTGAGCTCAGCTTACAAAGACATCAACATGCAGCAAACACTTAAAGGCTTTCCAACTTGTTCGCTAGTCTATCAAGCTGAACATTTCATGGTTCAAACTCGGCTCATTTACCAACGAGCTTGTTCGCGAGCCGGCTCAGTCAAAGACGAATCGAGTCGAGTACTATCACACAAGTTTTTTCTCGAGTCGTACATCCAATCATTCATAAGTGATTTGGTTCATTAACAACCCTATTCACCGTAGAAGATAGTTGGAAAATCAATTGATGAACAGAACTGGTATGTTAAATATTGGTGACGCGTTAGTTGCGTAGCACATGCATCATCAGTTGACTCTGCCGTAAACCGATATTGAGAGAAAGAGAGGCATAGTCGGCTATTCGTACCATGCCAACGTGAAGAGACAAGCCTTGAAAAGTATTTTTAGTTAGCATCGATCGGCTTCCTCGTTGCTTCTGCCGCTTGGGATATCCGCAACCCAGTCAATCGGCCGGACGAGTGAATCAACGGAACCATTTGCATATAAATAACGAATGGGTAGATAGCTAGCCATGAACAATTGAACATAAGACCTAAAGAAGCTAAAATATAATGGCGGGTGGTGGAATCAGCAGAAGTACGAATATGATGGCGGCGGCATTCCTCATCATTGCATTCCTACTCGTGGCTGCTCGTGAGTTCAATTACTACTTTCGATTACTTTTCCTTGTTTGTAACAAGGTTTGAACAAGCTTGTTTTTTTTTTCCATATGTGGAATTTGCAGCCATCTCGTGGTCACGCGAATTCAAGGCAGGAAAGAAAGAGCTTGGTCGCCATACAAATGCTACTGCTGCTTCTACCGGCGCCGCTACTGATCCTTATTGTTACGATGGTCGTTATGACTGCAAACTGGATTCGGATTGCAAGGGACAATGTCGTTGCGAATCTGGCGATCCCTACTGCGCCAGCCTCCTCTGCTTCTGCCCTGGCCGATGATCAATGAATTATGGTCATATGCATATATGAACCTCGATTTGGATAAATATGAATAATCGAAACATGATGTTATAGATATACAATAATAACGATGAACGACGAAGAGGATTATTTTGAAGTCTGGTTCATTATTTTAGTTATCAGCATTATCAGTAGTACTCTTAGGGGTGGAAATCGGTACGGTATCGGTATCACAATACCAAATACCGAAATCCCGAATACCGAATTACACCCTAAAATCAATCTCAATCCCAATCCCTAAATAATTTCGGTATCCCAATCCCAATCCCTAAATATTTTGGTATCCCAATCGGTATTATCGAATACGAAATTAATTACATTTAAAATAAATAATTAAATATATAAATTAGATTTGATTGTTTAATATAGGACAAAGCGACTAAGCAAAGAGACTTGAGTTTTTCGTAAAAAAAAAAAAGAATCTTGAGTTTGGCTAGAGCTAGGATATGGATAAGGAGAATGGAGGAGAGGTGACATATCAAGTTTTTGTCATTGGTTATCTTTAATTTGACAAGTTGGAGGTTGAGAGAAGACTAATACTAGTGTTTGCTTTTTGGTGTTATGAAAATAACAATAGATTGGTCGTTGAGGGTCGTGTAGTAGTGAATGAGAGAGTCTAGTTGATAGGATAAAATACACACTAGCTTATATTTCGGTATTGTTCGGTATTTCGGTATATACAGATCTCAATCTCGTAATCCCTAATATCGAATAACAATTGAAATTGAATTCCAATCCCAAAAAATAATACGTGTATTCGGTAATACCAAATATAGAAAAATTCGGTACAGTATTCAGTATATCTCAAATACCACTACCAAACTTCTAGCACTAAGTACTCTACATCAAGTAAAATTTAATATATGGTGATAAATTCCTTTCATTTTCATTAATTACTGTGCATTTGTTGGACTTGGACCCACTCTCCCGCCAATCTGTTGGATTGGAGTCAAGTGTCAACCCTTTCCGTCACTTTATTTTCAAAACCTGATCGGATGCTTAATCGGATGAGTTAGTGGTTATTGAGTTCAGGAAAAAATTTCAAAGTACACTAGTTGTTAAAAAAAAATTCCAAAATACATAAGTTATAAATTTTTTTTCCAAAACTACACATGTTTGGCATTCACTGTTTTTGACAAACGCAGTGAAGATTATCACCGTTTTTTCCAAAACTACACATGTTTTACCAATAGCGGTGATTGACTCGCTATTGGTAAAACATGTGTAGTTTTGGAAAAAACGGTGATAATCTTCACTGCGTTTGTCAAAAACGGTGAATGCCAAACATGTGTAGTTTTGGAAAAAAAATTTATAACTTATATATTTTGGGAATTTTTTTTAACTAGTGTACTTTGGGATTTTTTTCCTATTACTATCACTCATTTTGAGTGATAGTTTCCTTCACATCAAGCAAACAATGCATGTATTGTTTGTGCAGAAAATTCAAAAAAAAAAAAAAAACAATGCATTGTGGACAATACATGCATTGTAACTATCTCAACCAAACAATCACCAAAATCAAACGAACCCTTAATTAATGTCTCCAATCCATGGACAAAAAATCTTGCTTTAAAGTCAGCAAATGCAGTTTTTTTTTTCCTATTACTATCACTCATTTTGAGTGATAGTTTCCTTCACATCAAGCAAACAATGCATGTATTGTTTGTGCAGAAAATTCAAAAAAAAAAAAAAAAAACAATGCATTGTGGACAATACATGCATTGTAACTATCTCAACTAAACAATCACCAAAATCAAACGAACCCTTAATTAATGTCTCCAATCCATGGACAAAAAATCTTGCTTTAAAGTCAGCAAATGCATCTTTTTTTTTTTTTTTGGATAGAGAATGGTTGATGTTGAAGATAACTTTTTAGGCAAAATACATCATATTACTCATATTTCTGTAAAGGTTTTGTGAAATCAAGCATTCATTATTATAGGGTACCAGTTGAGTTTTTGGTCAATGAACTTCAAATTTCACATCCTCCCCTTGGCTGATGCTTTACTTACAAAGCAATGCTGGAGATTGGTGATGTCGCCCGATTCCTTGGTTGCCCAGGTCATGAGGAGCCGCTACTATCCTCGTGGAGATTTCTGGACTGCTCAGAGGGGATATAACCCCAGTTATGCATTAGGAGTATTTGGGGGGCTCGCTCGATACTTCGTGAGGGTGTCTTCTGGCGAGTTGGTGACGGCAGAACAATTCGGGTCTGGCATGATCATTGGATACCGGCTACTAATTCAGGTCTTGGTGGGATTCCATCGGGCCCGTTGGGTTTGGAGGCTCGTGTTGAAGAATTAATTGATAGAGACTTGGGGGAATGGCGGGCAGCACTGGTGCATTTTTTTTTCTTTATCATGAACAAGCTAGCCTTGGCTGAAACCCCTTCCTCTTCTCTCTACACCCATTTGTCCTCTCCATTTCGGCCCACCAAATCCATCTCCAATCCTCGAAATTAGAGGTGGCAATTTCAATCCAATCCACCAATCCAATCCATCAATCCATTAAAAATATCCATCTAATCCAATCCATTTAAATCCAATCCATTTAATCCAAATCCAATTGGATGGGTGGATTCATGGATTGGATCCATGGATCATTGGCAAATTACGGTTTAGTACTTATAATTTTTATTTTTTACATTTTGGTACCTAAATTTAATTTTTTATACGAAAAATATCATTGGAAAATTACGTTTTGGTACCTAAAATTTTTCATTATGACATTTTAGTACCTAAACTTTTTACATTTTACATATTGGTCCTTGGTTGAGGATGTCATTTGGATTCATGGATAATCCACCAATCCACTTGATCCAATCCATGAATCCACCAATCCATTAGATCCAATCCATTTAATCCATGGATCCACCAATCCAATCCATCAATCCACCAATCCAATCCATTTGCCACCTCTACTCGAAATCAAGCACCCAAAACTGCCCTACAACATCTCCACGTCACCTCCAACAAAGCCCAATCATTTTCCCCCTCCAAAATTGACGCGACGATACATAACGCGATGCTTGATTAGGTATTAATCGAATAATGATACATAACGGGGTTGTCATACCTCGGCTACTAGTTATAGCAACTAGTGGTAATATGACGCGATTATTATAACTCAATTTTTAGTTCACACTTAAGTGAGTATGTAGGTACAATTTGTAATGTGGCTATCTCACTACAATCTTCAGATAAATTGGAAGCTTAGTCGCGAGTTCGTGGTCCCCTTAATTAGTAATTACAACATAATGTTCAGTAGCGTATCTCTTCAGAGTAAGTACTCAGAAAACCCATTTAATTACGAAACTCATAGTATTGCCTCCTTTCTAAATAATATACCCCAATAACGTACCTAAATTATTGCATGAGTATATGTGTTGCTAGAAGTATGTTTGGAGCTGGATTTTGTTTCTTCCAAGTGAATCTAGGATTATAACTGATCCTCACGCTCGTACTTAGGGACTTAGTCGCTCCGAGACATACCTCAGTCCAAGCCTACACCTCTTTACTGTGATAACCAAGCAGCGTTACACATTGCGGCGAATCCAGTCTTTCATGAGCGCACCAAGCATGTTGAGATGGACTATTATTTCATTCGTGAACGTGTTGTTTCGGGTGACATCCTTCCCCTCTAAATGAGCTCGCATCTCCAGCTAGCGGATCAATTCACCAAAGGGCTAGGCGCGGATCGTTTCCGTTTTCTACTCTCCAAGCTGAACGTTCGTGACCTCCACCGTTCAGCTTGCGGGGGCGTATTGGATAGAGACACTGAGTGGCCTGGGTCCAAGTCACCGCTTGAGGCCCAATCCAAGTCAGCCTGTCCAGTTGAGGCGTCCTTTACGTGCATGGCAAGGAGTGCTTATGGGAGATTTCCTAGTATTCCTTCTTCTACATGTAAAGCCCTAAGTACAGAAAGCTCTAGCCTATATTAGTCTTGTATAGGCCATGCGGCCACTGTAACACAATCATCTAATTAATAAGATCAAAGCTGGAGAGGCTGAACTCTCCCGTGGATTAATCTCGGTCTCTCAATCGATCGAGAATACCACGTAAAACTCGTGTCTCTTCTTGATTCGTTTGCGATTTATCATATCAGTACCCTAATAAGCTAAATTTTCAAGCTACTTTTTTTATATAATTATTATTTGTTCCGCTTCCGGCTGAGTGTTCCACTTTATGTTAAGTTATAAATTATAATTGCTAAAAAATACAAACAAAATGCTTCACATCAGCGCCTAAGCTACTCTTCATCATTAGAGATTGGGCTACAGTGCTTTATGATAATAAGTAGTTTGCGATTCGGGATTTGTCCAGAAATAGCACTGTTAAATTTTTCTCCAAAAAATAGCACCCAACTCAAAAAAATTACAAAAATAGCATTCTTTCCCAAAAACCGCTACTCGAACCAGAGGTTTAGGCAAAAACCGCCACCCTGGGACGCGTTTCTCGATGAAAACCGCATGAGACCGAGGCAGTTTGGTGCCTATGCTACTCTTCATCATTAGAGATTGGACTACAGTGCTTTATGATAATAAGTAGTTTGCGATTCGTTAGATCTTGTTTTGTGAATTTTTAGTAAGTGAAGCGATTGGGTTTTCTGTTAGACTGTTACTGAATGATGTCATCACTTTGATTCGATACCAAGGAAGGACATTTATAGAGCCCTTCTACATGTAGTATGTACCTAAGAAAGACACTTGCTTTTATTTCATAACAACAATAAAGGACCATATGAACGACACCCAAAATGGCCAAGCAACATTGTTTCACGTCTCAAATGTATACATATATATATGAAAGTTTACAATTGGTTTCCTTAAGATTTCATAAGGGAGAAAAAAAAAGAACAAACAAAAAACACAAAGTAAAAGTAAAAGTAAAAGAGTCACATTCATGAGTGCAGAGTCCCTTGACCAGCCAACCAAGGACTGGCCCACGATTATCGTGGCCATTGTCCTTGGCACGGTGGCTGTAGTCTACGGAGGTTACTTGTGCTTTCGTTGGATCAGGAGCACGTTTTTTTCTGGGCCACCTCATCAGCAACCTCCTCCACCACCTCAGGAGCTCCAGATGGGGCCGATCCCGGTGGCTCCGGAGCTTCAGCCTGTGTCTCGGGACAGGCTTGCCTCACTCCTGGTACGGGAGTTCTCGACTCGGGACGGAGAGCAGATCACCACCGAGTGTGGGATCTGCCTTGAGGAGTACAGAGCTGGCGACCAGCTCTGGGAGCTACCGGCCTGCAGGCACGACTTCCACGTCGCCTGTCTCGGGGAGTGGTTCCGGTCGCAGTCCACGTGCCCTTACTGTCGACAGACCGTGTGAGCCGACACAGCACATCAACATAAGAGAACTGAGTAGATAGTGTGTAATAAAAATTATGAATAAGTGTTGTATACGAATATTTAGTTAGTTAGTAGTAATTTTGTCATACATTGTATTAATGATTACTTAACCAATTGTATGAAAATTTGAATGCTAACTAGAAAGACTATACTTTTATATCCTTACCAATATTAATAGAATGATAACACTCTCTACTTGTTTACTATTGTAAATTAATCAACATACGTCCCCTCCATAATTTTCTTGTACGGATGCCTTGTTCAACTATAATCACGTAACAAACATACTCTTTGTTAATTCATCAACTATAGGTCACCTTACCCTACTAGTCATCAAACTTTACATTACAATAATCGACATGGTAGAAAGTTTAAAAAAAGTTAAAAAAAAAAGGTTAAAAAAAACCCCGACTCCTTTCCCCCTTCCCACTCACAGATTGTCTGCTCTCCTCTGTTTCTTTCTTGACTGATCACCAACCACAACCACCGTAATCTCAATCAGTCGGCTAATCAATACCCAGAAGAATCGCATGGGCGGCGGCAACGGTGGTCGACGCTCCGGCGGTCACAACAAAAAACCCAAAGTTGGCGATGAAACCGCAACAGCTGATTCCTCCCTACCTTGGGAAGCAGAATCAGAAGTCGGTCAAGTTCGACGCCGCTGAAGACGAAGAGTCAGTTCGGTGGTGACGATTACGACGGCGAGGATGATTTGATGACGAGATGGACGACGTTCGTCTCACTAAGCCGAAGCCGATGTACAGAAATGGCCAACCCGTGATGAAGGCCGGCGGGATGCTTCCTCCTCTGCTTTAATTCTTTTTTTTTTTTTTTCTCACTTATTGCGGTTGGTTCCTCTGGATCAGCTCTTTTTTGGTGATGATCGGAGTTGGAAGTGGTCGAGTGGAGAATTTGAGAGTTTATGGATGCAATCGGCCGGGGAAGAGCCAGATCCGGTGGTTCTGTTTTGATTTCTGATGATTTCTCCATCTCTTTCTTCCTTATATGGTTCGTTTGAATCTTGATTCCTCTTTTGCGTATTCATATTAGCAGGTTGTAGTAGCTGTTGTGCCCTCATGGAAGGATGCTTGACAAGTTTATGAATCTTCATCTCGATCCGTTTCTAGATTCTCATCTTTGTAGCTCATGCATCACCACCAATTTGCTTAGTTCATTTTTTTTTAATGAATCTTCATCTTTTACTAATATAACATTTTTACAATTTTACTTCGTTCCTTTAATCACATCTTTGTAACTCATGGATATATTCATTTCTCTTTTAATGCATATATAATCGGTCATCACCACTTTGCTTAATTATTTTTCTTTTTAATTAATATATTCTGGTTGACTGATAATTGTTGAAAACATATTAATTTCATGTGCTTAATGTGATTATTTCATAATATGTTTGAGACATATAATGCGTGTTGTAAGGCCAACTGACTCCGGAATGGTTATAAGACCATTACCACCATGTGTTAGAATTTCGATATATTTTAAGTGGAAAGATAGAAATTGTGGAAGTACAAGCAGACAAGTGGAACACAAATCAAGTCTATGACCGAACCAATTTGGACCGAATTCTTGACCTAGCCCCGTTAATTAAAGTACTCATTGCACCGGCTTTGGATTACTTGGACCGGAATTAAAATGCAGCATGGGGAATTATTTGGGCCTGGAGGACAATTAAAGGGGGAATCAATTGCGGGACACGGGAGAGGATCTGGAGAATTTCTTTGGGTGTGAAATTATTTGTGGAGGAGAGTGGCGGCTTGGAAGGGTATTTTTCTTGGAGGAGCAGAGCATCGCAGGCGACTGATTATTGGGAATTAATCGGGACGGAACAGCTTTGGCGAGAAAGAATTGGCGACTAGCGACGCAGGAGCTATCGAGCGGAGCAAAACAGACAGGCGATTGGAGCGAAAAGGAATTGGTGCCGGGATTAAGTTCCATAATCTCAGTATTTTTCCTTTAGCTTTAATCAATACGATGATGATTACAAACATGATTGTGTGTTTTATTTTCGTTATGAACTAAACCCCAATTTCTGGGGGAAACACCGTAGGATGTAGCTATTTCTATATTTGATGGATTGATTCATATTTCTTTTCCTCCAATCTCTATTGCATGGAATTGCTTAATGCTTTGTGTTGACTGGCCACCAATACATTGATTTGTAGTTGATTAGGTTATTAGCGACAGTGAAACCCTATTAACTGAACCTATTTCATGTGACATAGTAACTTATCGAAGCGACAATGGATTAAATAAGGTGCTATGCGGTCTTAAATAGGATATCGTTCTTCAGACTATATAGTTAATTCTTTGAGCTACGACAGTAGGATTTGAATTGATTATTTAGTACGTAGTAATTCCCGACAGGGATAGCTAGCACATTCGGGATATCCTGGCTGTAGAGAATTGGATTAAACTGATTGGAATATGTGAATTAATTTGGATAGGATAGGTAGTGAGTCCCGGTGTTTCTCCCAGAGCTTTCTCCGGAAATTTCTCCCGACCATTTTACTTTGTTTGATTAGTTTATTTTGCTTATAGATAATTAGTCTCATAAACCATTTTCACCTATAGTTTGCTCTATAAATTGATAGAATAAAAGGTTGTACCAGTCCCTGAGAGACGATACCCGGACTTTCCGGTTTTACTACAAGATAGGAATTGAAGCTATACGCTTTTGCCCTATCAAGTTTTTGGCGCCGTTGCCGGGGACTGCCATACCTTATATTTGTTGATTTTTGTGAGTGAACTATTTTGATCTGGGTGTTAGTGTGCAGAAGAATTTTTCAGGTGTATCCTCCTCGTGCATGCCAAGGAGGACGACCGGCAATTTACTGCCACTTGATCCAGAGATAGAGAAGACCTGCCGACAGAACAGGAAGTAGGTCTAGTTGGGGAAGCAGGCAACCACAACCACAACTCCTAGGCCTTCCCTAACCAAGAATCGTCAACAGAGTGGGCAGGCTTCATCACCTGTCGTCCATACACCACCGACACCACCACCTCGTGAGGTTGAGCCAGACATCATGGCAGACGAGGATCGATCAATCAGGGCTCGTTTGAATCGAAGGACTGGAGCCCGAGCTTCATGTGTTGTCATTCCGGCTGGGGATGCAACCATGGAAATTACCTCAGCATTCATCAATATGATCACCCATGGGTATACTTTCTCAGGGGCTAGCACTGAGGATCCTCATGAACATCTCCGCCGGTTCGCGAGCATTTGTGATACTATGAAGAACTCGACCGTGTCTGATGATGCAATCCGTCTTCGGATGTTCTCATTTTCTCTGCTAGAGAATGCATCACACTGGTTCCATAACTTAACACCCCGTTCCATCACGACATGGGGTCAGCTTGAGAAGGTATTTATGGATAAATACTTCCCACCTGCCTTGGCAATGAAGAGGCAAGAAGAGATTGTTACTTTTAAGCAGGCTGATGATGAGAGTCTGACAGAGGCATGGCAGCGCTATAAGGGGCTATTGATGAGATGCACAAGCCATGGTCTTGAAGATTGGAACGTGATCATTATTTTCTTCAATGGAATCAGAAGGGAGTTCCGGGATGCCCTGAATAATGCTTCTCGAAATGGTTTCACAAGCCACTGAATAGGGTAGTGAGACCAGTATTCGAAGAAGAGGGGGCTTGCATGAGATAAACAGAGTTGCGAGTCTAGAAGCCAAGATAGATGCTAAGCTGATTCTAAGTTCGATGAACTCGAACGAAGGCTGGCCAAGATTGCTCTGGGTAGACAAGAGGAGGTTGTTTCATGTGAACTTTTCGAGGGTGCTCATCATAGTGATATGTGTCCAGTGGGAGCTGCTCAGTTGGAAGATGTCCAATATATCAATAATCCGCGAAGTCAAGGCCAGGGTGGTATGTATTCAAATACATATAACCCTCAATGGAGACATCACCCCAACATGTCATGGTCGAATAATAACTCAGCTGGTGTTCGAAACATCCCGCCTCCTGGTTTTCAACAGCAGCAGCCTCAACCAGAGAAGAAGCCCCAGCTGGAGGAGTTGATTTTGGCTCATATGCAGAAAACAGACAATAATTTCAAGGGCCTTGATCAATTTGTCACTCAACAGCTAGCCATCAAAAATAATATGCAATCATCTATGCTATCTATGGAGAGGCAAATAGGCCAGATGGCTCAAACTTTGGCAGATATTCAAGGTAGGATTCCTGGGACTTTACCAGCAAATACTGAGAGAAATCCAAAGGACGCCATGGTTGTAGCCGTCACATTGAGGAGTGGGAAGGAGTTGGAGGATCCAAAGAGCAAGAAAAATCCGGTAGAAAAGGAGGGGAAAGCAGCTGTAGAGGAAGAAAGTGCAAAAGCTGAAAAATCTGACTTACACAGGCAAACTGCATGCAATCTGCCTGTGCAAAAGCAATCTTCCCGTGTACCTCAAAAAGTGAAAAAATTGAAGAAGGAAGAGGTAAAGCCTTATGAACCTCCCGCACCATTCCCTCAAAGGTTAATGAAGCCCATGGAAGACCCAAACTTCAAGAAATTTTTGAATATCTTCAAGCAACTTCATATCAACATACCGTTGGCGGAGGCACTGGAACAGATGCCTATATATGCTAAATTCTTAAGGGAGTTGCTGACTAAGAAGCGCAAATGGGCTGATCTGGAGAAGGTAACCCTTACTTCTGAATGTAGTGCCGTGATTCAGAATAAATTACCAAAGAAGAGGGATGATCCGGGCAGCTTCACCATTCCATGTGTCATTGGAGGTACAGAGTTCGATAAATCACTTTGTGATCTTGGAGCAGGAATTAATTTGATGCCATACTCAGTCTACAAGAAATTGGGATCGGGAGATGTGCTTAAGCTTACTCGGATCACTCTCCATTGGCCGATTGATCAGTGAAAATTCCAAAGGGAGTGGTGGAGAATGTATTGGTGAAGGTGGGAAAGTTTATTCTCCCAACAGATTTTGTCAT